GAGGATCGATGTAAGCTGCAGGCCTGGTGAGGAAACCGAGCTGGGCCATCGCAGGCTGCGGGCCTGGTGGCTTGCGGCTTGCATGGTGCAAGTGCACGGGTTCGAAGAACCCTAATTCCCAAATCGCAAAAAAAATATTTTTTTTTCAATTCAATTATATTATATGCATGTATAATTCTAATGAATCACATATTTACGTTGATGCATATGCAAATAATAGTTTCAATGCATGTACATATGTAAGATTCAATTCATGGCAAATATCAAATTCACATAATTGTAGCAATTTTGGTGATGAAGCATACAATTTATGTAGAATCTAAATTACGTTAAACATAAAGTTGGGTCATGCATCATGGTGAATGTTCATGCTATCAGGGCTTGCAAAATATCGAGTTAAAAGCCGTTGTTTGGAAAGAACCTGATTGCGTGATGATATGGATGAACTGGTTTGATGCAGAAAAAAAATCTCCAACGTCAGATTCCTAAGCGCAGCGGTAGGAGCGTGCTGATAACGTGTTCTGGTCTATTTTATCTGACAGAGATACTAGGGCCGGTGGCAGAGAAAGAGAGAAGAGAGATGTGTGTTTGTAGAATTGTAGGGGAATGTGTGTGTTGTTATCCCTCCTACATTGTGCCTTTATTTATAGTAGTAAAGGGAGAAAAGATATTCCTTCTCCTCCAAGTAATACAAGTTGTAATAGGAAAGGATAACTAGAATCAAATCTAATCTAGGATTTACACAATCATACTTATTCTAGGAATGTTTACAACAATTTTTTATTTTTTATGAACAAAAGTCCCTTTTTATTTATCGGAAAGTTGAAGACAAAAGTCATAGGTTTTTAAAAGTTTGAAAGAATAGGCTGGGGGTGTTCAGATCTTAAGGGGACTCTTGCACTTAAGAAAGATTTTGAATGCCTGAAATGTGAAATGACAAAATGCCATTTCTTGCGCACACACGAAGTGACAATGCTCATCATTGTTGTCTTTACAGCACAATTTCGAGTTACAAGCATGAATCAGGAACGTCTTTACTACCTTGCAAGAGCAGCGAGACTAGATCCCAACGTGTTAAAAAATACTAAATGGTATGCATTTCGATAGAAGGTAGGGATGTGATATCCACACATTCCTTTTTACTTCTCTCACACCCTTTTAATTTTTGGTCGTCGGATCGGATGAATTGAAGAAGATCAAATGACAAAAATTAACAAGGGGTGTGGGAAAAGTAAAAAGTGGTGTGTGGATAGCACACCCCTAGAAGGTATGGTCTTTATATAGCTATTCATCCTCAAGTGGAATCATGATTTTTCAAAGTCAAAGAAAGGCAGATCGGAATATGTATATCTCAGAAGTCTGGTTATGGACTCAACAGTTCTTCCCGGATTAAGTTGTTCAAACGGACCAGCAATTGCACTACATCATGCTAAGCTCTGGAAATGTAGGCGAAGTCCGCTGACTTCGCCGAAATTGACCATTCTTGTTTTGCAAGACACAAAAACTTGATTTGATTGAAAATCAGACGAGTTTCCTATATTCTTGGAAATTCATACAACCTATCGATTGTCGTGCACAACAAGTAATCGCACTCTTAAGATGAAGGAATCTCTAAGTATCTGCTTGGATTTTTCCAATGTAATACGAATTCCATATCCTGAAAGGTCTCTCGACTAATATACGTACCTTCATTTAAGGAAAATCTCCAGTAATGCAAGATAATGCAATTCACTCATATTATATATTCTCTAGTCCACTACTTAAGTCTAATATTGTTTACCAACTTGATCGTCAGAGAGCCTTTGGCTGACAGTGACACCCCACCGGTACCCTAGGTTAACCACGAGTTTTAACTTTCTTACTGGTAACCGAACTTGCGTAGCTCATTTGTCAGCGGGCTGCGGGAATTTGGTCCCCAACATTCCATATTTGCGATGGATTTAGTTTATGTCGTGTACATAAATCTCATTGGGACTCCCGAAAAACTTGAGAAAACTGCTTTGCAGGTCAGACAAACGAACCTTAGTTATGATATCCTGTACCCAAAATTAGTATTTTATTTTATTTTTAGACGTATTACGAAGATTTAATTGAAACTAGTTCGTTAAATTCTCCGGTTTTGAGAAAAACGAAGTGAATGGTATTTTAGTCAATTCTAATTTTATTCTACCTTTTCGGTCAATTCTTGAGTTGTTTAAGTAAAGCTTAATTCCAAGAGTGCGTATGTGTAAACAAATCTCAATTCCGAGTCAGAACGAAGAAGGTAGAGTCGTTTGAAGTTGGGGGCATTTTGGTAATTTGACTAAGATGTTATAATTGGAGGGAAACCTCCAAATAGTCTGATTATGACCCGTTCTGGAGCAAATTGTACCCGTTAACCCACAAACTTGACCCACTCATATCTCTTTCATTCATCCTCCGTTTTAGGTGATCTTAGTGTCCATAGAAAGCTCTTGACGAGCCCTACATCTCTGTAGTGTTAGATTTCCCATTTTCTTTTTCATTTTTCAAGTTTGAAGTAGCAAAGTCTCGTGGGTTGTTTGGCGATTTTATCATTTTTTCGGTGATTCTGGTAACCATTTTCTTTGAGTGAGGTATGAAACTTCATCTACTCTTCATAATCTTCAAGTTGGTATGCTTGATTTGTGTTTTCGTAGTTGTTTTAGAGTTGGGTGTTTAGAACCCTAGAAATCCTGTTTTCTCCAGTGAATTTGGACGGTTTCCGGTTAGGTTTTATCGTCGACCTAGTTGTGAAAAGTGTTTCCCTTGTTGAGCTATAGCTACCCAGTAAATTTGATCCCTTTTAGTTAAGGTTGAAAATTCGGGTTTACAAACCCTCCACCATGACTACCATCGCTTGTGGCGGTGTATGGGACCGTCCACAAGTGTTATCTAAGTACCAAATACCTTATAGTGACCTTGTGAACCTATGTCTATCTCGATTTCTCGAAATTCAATTGTTTAGTGTCATAATTAAATTGGACCACCACTCGTTTATATGATTGGCGAATATCCAACAGTTGGATCGTTTGTCAATCTGTAATATGTTGTTGTCGAAGCTTGGTTAATACGCGATGAGAGATCCTTATTACTTTGGTATGGCCATACGAACTTGGGGATGATCATGCTTGGTTAATCCGTGGTAGGTGATCACTACCTATAATATTCGTTTGTCAATGTGTAAAATGATGTTGTCGAAGCTTGGTTAATACACAATGGGCGATCCTTATTACTTTGGTATGTCTAAACAAACTTGGAGGTGATCATGCTTGGTTAATCCGTGATGGGTGATCACTACCTATAATATTCGTATGAGTGACTCTACTTGGTTAATTCGCTATGGGGGGTCACTACCTACATGATATTCTCAAGAGTGGTTCTGCTTGGTTAATCCACAATGGGGGACCATATCCTGTTCGGTTGCTTAATGTAGGTTTCGGCCAAACTGTGTCTCTCTATAACCCTAGAATATTGTTTATTACATATATGAAAGATAAGATTGAAGGCCTATATGGCTCAATCTAGAAAGTGATTATTGAATCAAATAGTTTACATGATGGTGTTGCCTAAAAGAGAAGGGTTTCGGTTCGGATGTGACTCATTCCTACTCATAACGAAGAGATGCAATGATGAAAAAGATACCAATCTCATTCCTACATGTGATTGTATTATTGAGGTTGTGTCATTCCTACACAACTTCGGGTTGTGTGATGACTAATAGTTATCTTAATAGACATGTGGTAGGATACATAAATGAATAACCTTTTGTATACGTATTAATGAGGCGTATGGTGGTTAAATTATGAAATATGTGGCAATTGGACCCTTATGATTACTCAAAATGATGAAAGGCGAGTGGTGAGTCACAATCTGAAGAGAATGACGGAATAATATTGACGGTATACCGAAGAAATGTCTTGTGATGACGTAGCACTACTTTGACATTTAATCATTTGATGTTATTAATATTCACATATGTTGTATTATTGTCACTCACACGAGTTTCGTAGCTTATCCGGGTTTTGCTTTGTCCGGTACGCCATTACCATGGCGTAGGGTTATTTTGCAGAGTAACGGGTAGCAGTTAGAGAAGAAGATTGCAGGTGGTGTAGCTGTTGTGGGCAGTGCACTTGAGAGTAGGTATTGCCATCCCTTGTTGTAAGTTATTCTGATGATGCTTTGATGTATATTATATGTATGAGTCTCAATGACTATGTATTTTATATCGTACCGCTACAGTCATTGGTCGCGCGTCGATTCCGAGCGTATCTCGGGATCGGGGCGTGACATTAGTTGCTACTTCTTCAAACAATGCTGAAATTCTCGCCCTTTAAGAAGCGATATAACTGAGAGTTGTTGTTAAGCATATTCCAAACATTACAAACGTTCTTCAGATTTTGACATCCCTACAATGACCTATAAATACACCGCTTATATCGACCAGATCAAGAAATGCTACAATCATAGGAGACCAAACCAAGAATATTGGGCCCAAAATTTTTTGCTCACATTACCAGCAAGAGCATTATAAGATTAAAGTCAAGCAAATTTGATCTCAATACAACCTTGCTGATCTTCACGAAGTCTACTTTCAAGAAACTTGTCCCAAGTAATTGGTATGCATAAATTGTCTGATTTGCAATGCTTGTAATTCTTATCTGTCAAACTTAGTGGGGGTTCTAGAAATATACTCACTTGGCTCCTTTAAATTATGAGTATTTTCCCACTAAGTATTTGCTACTTGATGAAATTTTGACTTAACACTCACACTTGTGTGCTTTCTACTCACGTTTAGAAAGCGTTTGTTTCAATTTAAACATCTTCTCATTTGTCTCCTTAAACTTGAATTTTATCTTTACTTAAGAGTTTTACTAAAGCCATGTTTTGTGAGTTTTTACTACTTGTAAGTTATAACACGTGTTATTTATGTAAAATAGGCCCAATCATTATTATCGATCTGGGTTTGAAACACAAGATTGAAAATAAAAACACAGGCAGAAAAAAGGTAACATCCCGTGTACAAAACATTATAAAATATCATAACACAATTCAGATGATGTTTCAGAAGACATAAAGATCGTCAAAACACGGCTGAAGTTCCGGGTGGAAGAAAAAAGATTGTCAAACCAACTAAAATTAACAGAACAAGAAGCATGTTTCCCTCATAACATATTGCAACCTCGCATTCAACTAAATCGAATTGGAACCTAAAATTATAGAATATGCTAGTGCCCGCGCGGTTCTAAGAAATCCGTAGCTCATGGGGTTACCACAATCCGGCCTGCAACTTGGTCAAGATCGCGTTGACCGTTAGATGTGATTCTCCTCCCCCTGTCGCAAGTTCAAAAGCAAAAATGCTCGGTCAGAGACGAGGAAACAAAACAAGCCAATGCTGCCCAACAAAACCTTTAACAGTTTATAGATGATAAATCAACCACATCACTCACCCCTTAGGATCAACATCAACAATGTTCAATTTCTGTAACTGTTGGAGAATGTGTCGGGCAATAGCACCACTGCTCTCGCAGAAATGTGGTGGACGACTTCCATTCCTCTGGCTTCCACCATAAATCCTACGGAATGCACCAACACCGAGTCCTCCCCTCAAGTAGATCTTCCTTGCCATGGAGGCTGAACATTATTGACAGTCACATTGTCAATACCACAAACAACGAACAATTTAGGAAACATAAACAAATAAGTACAATGGCATAATCAAAAGCGAAAGAATGCTCACCAGCTCTGACATAGTACCAGTCAGGATCATAAGGAGCCAACTCCTTGAATCTTCCAGTCTTAACGATATCAGTCCATGGAGGAAGCTCAACCTGCTCACAAACATCAAAAGTTCAAAACCAAATGGACTCATAAACACGGTATGGAAACCACATAATGAATAAGAAAAACACAGAAAATTACACCCTCGAATTAAGTTCAAAATCCTAAATGAACTTAAATAGAGCAAAATTCTACAATTGTACACAATATTAACAGAGCAGCATGCTAAACATAACTTCATCAAAATCGTCCAGAACAGCACAATCTACTATGAGATCTTATTAATTCCGGGCTTATAACACGACAACCACCATCAAATAATTTTCAAGTAAACAAAATATACAAAAAAGTGAGAAAGAAAAACCACGACAACCATAAGCAAGGCAAGATTCAATCAAATATGTACAATCCAATAAGGCAAATTAGATACTTCATAACAAGTTGTAATTGCATTCGCCACGGCATATTAACTAAACATAAATCAGCTACAATTTCAACAAAATAATGTAAATTTCCAAGCTTTCTTAAATGTTTCTAGAAAAATGGGTAATTACAAGCAACAGAAGCAAAAGGGCATCATTTTCTGAGTGTTTTCTATAATTTTCCTCCATTTTCTCGGAATCCAAACAAGGTGTTTAATAGACAAAACACAAGTCAGCTACAATTTCAACAAACTAGTGTAAAGGTCCAAACTTTTTTAAATTTCTATAAAATAAAATAAAAACAATAACGAACATCAAAGGCAAAAGGGGATCGCTTTCGAAGAAAATTTTATCGATTTTCCATCATTTTCTCGGAATCCAAACAGGGGGTTTAGTAGGAATACCTTTCCAGATCGCTTCAGATGGGCGGCGTAAGCCTTGACAAATTCGTGAGGGGAAACATCCTTCACAGTTTTCGCAGTCGCCATTGCTGGAAATCAGAGAGAAGCAAATTAGAGCGCCTCTGGGCTGATGAGATATAAGACTGAGGAGGCTGACGAAGAAGACGGCTCTCACTCTCCCTCTAGGGTTTCTCGTTAAGCTTTCGCAATATATTTATAGCTCTTTCTTTCTGTCGATTTGGGCCCATTTTTTAGACCCGACTGCCCAGTTTGACCCGAAATAATGGGCCTCGGATAAGGGCCCAATTTGTTCTGTTTCAGCCCAAAGCAAGGATAGAAACGACGTCGTAAAAGGTGTTTCGTCCCTTACTTGAACAGCTGAGCCTCTGCAATCGCAGTTCGCACTTCTTTGCCGTATTTCGTTTCCCCCAAACCGAAACCCTAGAAGGCCTCTCACTGAGACAGCCATGGCGATGAAGCACCTTCTTACTACCCTAGCTCGCCGCCGGCCCCACAGACCGCCGGCTTCTCTCACCGCAGCCGTCCGATCCCAATCGACCTCGCCCGCCGTCGCTACGTCACCTTCATCCCCATCCCTCCCCTCCCCTCCTCCACCAACCGCCATGATCTACGATCGATTGGCCGAGGGCGTCAAATCGAAGATCAAAAGGCTCGAGAACCCGGACCCGAGGTTCCTTAAGTACGGGTCACCCCACCCGAGTCTCACGGACCACAGCCACATCCTCACCGCACCCGAGACACGTGTCACCACACTCCCCAACGGCCTTCGGGTGGCCACCGAGTCGAACCTCGCGTCTAAGACCGCCACTGTCGGTGTCTGGATCGACGCCGGGTCAAGGTTCGAGGACGACGAGACCAACGGCACTGCGCATTTCCTGGAGCACATGATCTTCAAGGGGACGGAGCAGAGGACGGCCCGTGATCTGGAGGAGGAGGTCGAGAACATGGGAGGTCACTTGAATGCGTACACATCGAGGGAGCAGACCACGTACTATGCCAAGGTGCTCGATTCCGATGTGCCGAAGGCACTTTCGATTTTGGCTGATATCTTGCAGAACTCCAAGTTCGATGAGGACAGGATTTTGCGCGAGCGCGATGTGATTTTGAGGGAAATGGAGGAGGTAATCTCGTAAAAATGAAAACTTTTAGAAAATTGAGATATTGGGGTTGTTTGGATTTTCGGGGATTAGTGACTTTCAATGTTGCCTGTTGTGGATGTGAAAATTTTAAATGTTCAATAGCATTCAAAGTAACTTGATTTATATGAAATTTGTGAACTTTAATGAAAAAATGTTCCTGGATATATGCATTGATTAGATACACTCTTCTAGACTTGAACTGGACATTTCACAGTAGCTTGTGAACAATTACGTATTTACTCTTATTCTATGACTTGTATGAAAAACTTTGATAGGGATCCTGAAAACTATTAAAGTTGAGGTTGCTTGTAATGGAAATGTACACTATCCAAGATTGGTTCATAATGCTTTTGAATAAATGTTCATATCATCGCCTTGGTACTGCAGGTCGAGAAACAACCCGAAGAAGTCATTTTTGACCATCTGCATGCAACTGCATTCCAGTACTCTCCTCTAGCCAGAACTATTCTTGGACCTGCTGACAACATTAAGACCATCTCCAAAGAGCATCTTCAGAACTATATCAAAACACATTACACTGCTCCCAGAATGGTAATTTAATATTTATGAATTTTTGTTCGTACTATATAGGAAAGCATGGAAGTGGCGTTGTCATTGTCCTTTGGTATTACTTTACACGACACATTGATATTCAGGAGTTTGTTTCCAGAAGTTGACTGTCCTGTGCTTAACTTGTTCTATTTTAGGTTATTGCTGCTTCAGGAGCTATCAAGCATGAAGATCTTGTTGGGTCAGTTAAGGGTTTGTTCACAAAACTCTCAGGAGATCCTACCACCGCGGGTCAGTTGGTTGCGAAAGAACCTTCATTTTTTACTGGTTCTGAGGTAATGCATGTATCCTCTTATTTAACTTCTTTCTTGTACTTAATGTTTTTGCTTTCTCTTATAATTTATACATTTCTATTGATGTTGTGAAAATCAGGTCAGAATTGTGGATGATGACTTGCCTTTGGCACATTTTGCGGTTGCGTTCAGTGGTGCATCTTGGACTGATCCCGACTCTATTCCTCTAATGGTCATGCAAGCGATGCTGGGTTCATGGAATAAAAATGCTGGTGGTGGAAAGCACATGGGGTGAGCAATTTACATGGTCTTCAATTTCTGTGGGTTGAATACTTGATATCAACTCTGAGTTTATATATTTGGAGATCATGCAATGTTTAACTTTGGCTGCTTCCTTGTAAACAGTTCAGAGCTGGCACAGAGGGTTGCCATTAATGACATAGCAGAAAGCTATATGTCTTTCAACACCAACTATAAGGATACTGGCTTATTTGGTGTTTTTGCTACTGCTCCGGTGAGGGTGCCTTCTGTGATATGAATCTTAGTTGTTTTCACTGGTTATTTAAATTTTTTACTTCTTGTTCTGGTCCATAGTACCATTCTATTGCGAACTTGTGAAGGGATAAACAAATACAAACTAATCATGTCCTTGGTTGAGATTTGTATCAATTAGTTTGAGTTTAGATAGCTTTCCAGGGTTAGGACTTGGGCTTAATTCTTCTGTTGAACACCAAGGAGGAGTTGCACTTTGGAAGTAGTTATTATATTTTAATTTGTAAGTTTGGGGAACTACCGAGGAAGATTAGTCTTATTTTTTGTTCGAGTGAAATTAGCTGGAGCCGAAGGATGAAACTACTGGACAATCACCTAACCAATTCTTTCTCCTCCTCTTGCTCTTTATCTCTATCTTTCTTTCCCTCTCCCTCTCCCTCCCCCTTTATTGTGATAAACAGTTGTATATGTTTATTTATACATTACCAACTACTCATACTAATTTACTTCTACAACTTATGTTGTGTTTTGGTCTAATTGCAGGCGGATTGCTTAGATGATTTGGCCTATGCAATCATGTATGAGGTCACCAAGTTAGTTTATCGAGTTTCAGAAGCTGATGTTATTCGTGCTCGTAATCAGGTAGCGCTTGATTTCTAACTCTGCTTCACTTCTAGATTCATGCTTTCTAAAGCGAGTATGCATGTTTTTATTGGTGGTGCCCAATATAAAAATGGTAAAACAGTTATGTTCTCCTTTGGTCATTGCATGTTTCTGAACATATCATTATATATAAGTTGACCCACTTATCATTGTTTCTTTTCTGGCAGTTGAAATCTTCGCTGCTTCTGCATTTGGATGGGACAAGTGCTGTAGCTGAAGATATTGGGCGCCAGGTACTTTTTTCTGCCCATATAGAAACACTGTTGAGAGCAATCAGCTTCGAACAATTGGAGTTGCTAATTTGATCTACTCACCTAGACCTGGGATGATTCCCCAAGCTTATTTGTAGTCTTTATTACATTAATGGGAATTAGTATATGTTTGCTGGTTGAGTTTAATTGCGGTAATTGAAAATCAGTACTTAGTGTTGATTGTTGTTGCCCAGTTCTAGTGACAATGTAGGAGTAGACTACAAGAACTAGTGTCTGTACTGGAAGCTGATTCTGTCCCTGTTGTTTTTTGACACTGCTTTTTGCAGTTACTTACATATGGTCGGAGAATCCCCTTGCCCGAGCTGTTTGCTAGAATCGATTCTGTTGATGCAAGCACCATCAAACGTGTTGCCAACCGATTCATCTATGACAGGGTATGAGTACAATCTGTTACCTCACTTGTCCTAATTTATAATACATAAAGAGTATTCTCTCAACCTCGTAGATCATGTAACCAAACCCTCATACTTGTGTTTGTTTCTTGCTGTTGGCAGGATATCGCAATTGCAGCCATGGGTCCGGTTACAAAATTGCCTGACTACAACTGGTTCAGACGCCGCACCTACTGGAACAGATACTAAGCTCCTAGTTTCTCTTTGCCTTGATTATTTCGTAATTGTCTTTCACGATCGGTCTGGTCTTGGAATATTTATCGCTTTTATGCAATTTAGTAACCGGCCTCGGAGAGAGAGGTATTGAAGGCTGGCATATTTCTTCCCTCACACCCACCCACAAATATGTTGTAGGTTCTCTCACTGTTTTGTAACACTTGAATTTTCTTCAATAAGCATCGACAACGACGATGACGACGACTGCGAATGTGAATGTGATTTGCTAGACAGATTTTGCAACTGCGTTTTGGTACTGAGCTCGCTCGGCAATTTGTGAATAAACTTGCCAATTTATTTGGTTTACCTACATTCATTATTTCACCAATTTCGGTGTGCAAATTAAATAGGCGAATTGGTAGCTCAACCGTCACCCCGAATTCATGCCTGCTACCATTTGAAATGTTTTGAGGTCGAAATTCTTCCCTCAAATGGGGAGCTTTTGTTTGCATACTTCCACGCGCGGACAAGAATATCGTACGAGGCCTGCGATGGAGTTCAAAAGAGCTCCTCCTGCCTTTGTCAAAGCCGTCGTAATTGACTATCAAAGGGCTGTGCCTTTAAAAGGGTAAACTGTCGTCTGACTCTTTGAACTAGTTGAAGTTACTTTTCTGGATTATTTTCTTCCACTGCGCTGTTTAGTACTACAAAAACTTTATCTTCAAGAGTGAATCACGTGTTAAGTCACATGCTAATATTTGACGGCAAAGTAAATGAAATTTTATCGATTGGCAGGGGATAGCTAGCTAATTTCAAATAGTTCAAGGGGTTATTATACCAAAAATAATAGTTTAGAGGGTCAAATAACTATTTATTTCGAATTAAAAATGTTATGTATATAGTCATGCATCTGATTCTATCCGTTTATAAACTACTATTCTAATCTATAGGGAAAGAAAGATTTGAACTCGAGTTTAATGGGTTAGACTTAACAAACTTGTCTAATCACATATGTCTTATAAAGCTTTGTTTGGTACAAAGGATTAGATTGGATTGGAATAGATAGCTCTCTAAATTAAAGACAAATTGAAGGTAGGAGGAGAAATATTTTTTGTATTGAGGAGATTATACGTTAAAAAAGGCCAAAATTACAAATTTACATTTTACTCAATGCAAATTCCACAAGCTCCCATTTTGATACTTTATCATTTTTAATTTTATTAGACTTACAATTCCAAACTCATTAATTGAAATGAAATGAAACC